TTATCCAAAAGAGGCACAGTAGTGTGAATTAATTGTTTTTTTTACTATAGCACTGTTCATATTTAAACAGTATGATGGGGAAATATTTAGTTTATATATATTATTCTCACACCGAATAAGTTGTTAACTTAGTGCAAGTTGACAACTTAATAGATTAATAACATAGTAAAAGCATCCTGATTGGTTAATAACTTTGACTGAGTAATAATTAAATCACACAGTGTTTTACTATCATGTGCTGCAAAGAGCCGCAGGAGATACATTAAAGAGCCACTTGCAGCTTGCGAGCCACAGTCTGAGTATCACGGTCCGAGTATCCTTGGTGATACAGGAATACACATAAATAATAAAAAAATAAAAAGGAGCAGCACTGGGACAGAGTGCATACTTTTGGTGACATTGTTGAAGAAGGAAGTGTATACACTGCTGTGTTTTTGAGGCACAAGAAACAAAAAATTGCAATCGATAAAATGGCTTTGCTGAAACTGTATTTTATTTCATCAGGCTCTGACTGAAGTCAGAAATTGGTCAGCATCACACTGAGGGCTGTGGAAACATGTGAGATACTAGTACTTATGTATATTTTAAAAACTTTAAAACTGAAGGTCTGGAAACCTCAACTTAAAAGCAAAAATAATTAAATGGCCTAGGGAATAAATACTGAAGGAAGGCAAAGGAAGACACACGCACTGTTAGCATTTTCTTATCAGAATTAGTTTTCAGACACCCTCTGCCTTGACTCTCTATGCTCTCACTGAAATGGAGGTCATGGCCAGTGACAACTGGAAGCTGTTCTTGGCGTCTCTCTTGCCTTTTTAGGTTATGAGGGTCTCTGTGTGTTTAGGACAATATGATTGACGGCTCCACTCCGGCCCCAATTAGCACCCTATAATTTATTAGCTTCTGCTTTCAGATTATGCGTTAACTTCACAAATATTTCAACCACGGAAACAGCAGCTATCGAGTGTCTCTTGCCTGATCCAGCTCACTGGGGTTGCAGTTAAATACAGGGAGAGAGCTGTGCAGGTCTGTCAAGCGAGAATAATCATTTGTGTCTGTGTGTGACTGGGATGGGCACAGCTCTTTAGGGCTTCACTGATGGAAAAAGAGAGATGTTTCACTGGATTAGAAGTCAGTTCATGCTGGGGGCGGGGGCAGGCTGTAGGGGTGGGATTCAACCTGTTGGCTCTTCTGAAGAAGGTTTGTGTTTGTCTAACTCTCCTACTTAGATATATACCAGTGCTTCAGTTACATGCAAACAGCAACTATGAAAACGATAATGTCACCATGATTTTCATTCCTTTGCCCTAATTGCTGAAGTGTACAGCAAACATGAAAAATACCTCAAAGAAAACAGGGCCCCGTCACAGGACGTGGTACAAAGACCCGCACAAGGGCATCTAGCTCTCTAGATATTTATCCTGCTCTTCTCACTATAGGATCTGAGCAACAGAGAAATTCTAAAAGAAACACCCAGGTTCTCAGTTGTTCAGTGTGTTGAGGCTGTAAATGCACTAAAGCAAAGGAAGACACAGACATCTATGAAAGAGAGCAATGGCTCCTGTCGAGTCAGCCCACTGCTGGGTATGGCAATAGAGGACTAGACAACACAGGGTTTAGGCCATTTCGATCAACACTGTGCTCATACTCGATTGGGCCACGTGTGTGTTTGTGGTGGACACACCAGTATTCCCTTCACTTTCTCCTGTAGGGACTTGGTGTGGATGTGACATATGCAGCATACCGCCGCTGGAGAAGGTGGGGGTACTCCCAATGGCATGCTAGGCCTTTGTGGATTTGCACTGTACCTTCTAGAGTTATAAAGCAGGAGCTGTATGCTTTGTGTGTTTTATTCACAGATAGGCTGTGGGTCACACCGAGAGCAAGTGATGGCTACTTTTCCAGATAGCTGAATTAACCCCATATATAATATTAGAGATGGGTGTAAGCAGTTACATCCTCCCAGTTTTGGATGTGTTCTGACCTAGGAGGTTTAAGTAAAGCCTATTATTGTGCAGGAACCAAGGATACAACTTGGGTCCTGAGACTCATCACACCGAATTCGTGACCACTGCTAGGATATATATTTCTGCCCACTCTTTTAGTCCTGTTCACCTTGCCCTGAAAAACAATAAACTATCTAAGAGACCCCTTCTCCAACCAATGAACTACACCCACAAACAGCCAGTCCCTCTCCCTGTCTAGCAGCAACTGCTCCTCTGGGTGGCAGGCCACAGCCACTGGTCAGGACACCACAGCCCTCCAGAGGAGTTGGTTTGCTTCCCTGCAGAGCAAAAGAACATGTTAATTAGAAACTTGCCAGAAAGAGATGCATGAGAGAAGCCAGTAAGGGGTCACTGGTGTGTCCAAAAACATCCACTGCATTTCACTCCCTTCCAGACAGGGATCAATCTAAGCCCATGTTAGAACTCATCATGGATTCTAAATAGAACTTCAAAGGAAAAGTGAGAGGGAACAGCAGCTCCTCCCAACCTAAGGTGGAGACGGGGAAGATAAGATTCCCCAGAGACAGGCCACACAGGCTTCACATGAGGGGCAGAGGGATTATTCAGAATCTACTTCACTCGCCCCCTCCCCCGGGGTTTATATGAATAACCCACTAGGAAACAAGGATCTTTATGCTAATACAAACCCAATGTTAGGGGAAATGCTTTCAACTCTAAATTCAAGGGTAGCTGTGTGCGAACATCAATTGTTGTCTGCTTTGTTCTCAGACTCACCTCTGTTGGAGAGAGCTCCCAGGAGCCCCTTTTAAAATTCCACCACCAAAACCAAAGCAGAGATTGGTGCAATTTTCTGGTCTTAAATGCAGTTCTCCCCCTCTCTGGATGCTGCTCAAGTATCCCTGCTGGGGACTAGTGTTAAGGCTGGAGCTGGTAAAAATATCCCTGAAGAGCAATTATTTTTGCTTTTGGCATGAACCAAGTTGTCCACAATTTTCATAAGAAAAAAGAAAAGGAAAAGTCCTTTTTGAAGATACTCAGCATATAAACCCTCAAGCCCTTAAAAATTACATACATTGAACCCTGTTTTTACTCGCATTATACTCAGTATAAACTATTTGCAGGAAACAGTTTAAGTGAATTTAACTTATGTTTTGTTTCTGGAAATCTCTGTGAACAGGTTGTGGTTTGAATTAGTTTCTTGGTTATGCTCAGTTGTTCTGCAACCAGACATTGCAAACATCCTATGGGTTGTTCACAGAATGATTGCTGTGATTATTCTCTCTTCATGCCACTGCACTGGACTTAAGTAGGAAGTGATGGTGACCATAGTTACAGATTAGCTGCAAACATTCATGCTTGTTCAATGAATTTGGTGTGCAAACAGTAGTGAAACAGCTTAAAAATGGCCATGAGAAAAATTATTTCTGTAGCATCAAGGCTCCCACTGTGCTAGGCACTGTATAAACACATCATAAAAAGAGAGTTTCTTCTCAGATCTTACAGTTTAAGACTCCAGTCCTGCATGTGTTTAAGTTTATGCACTGCAAGTAGTCCCCTTGAGGTCAAAGAATGACACACAGTGTATAAAGTTAAGCATGTCTTTTTGCAGGATCAGGGTTTATATCAATTTAGATTGTAATCTCTTTGGGGAAGTAGTTGTGGTGGGTTTTTTTACTTTATGTTTGTATAGTACCTAGCACAATGAGGCCCCAGTTCTGATGTGGGGCCCATGGGTGCCACCACTGTACCAATAATAAATAAGAACAGGAGCACTTTGAGTACAAATACTCATACCAGTATTTACAGATTCCGTATTTGTGCAAACCTTATTGCAAATAAACTTTCAGTCCCCTGAATTAAAGTTCATGAATCATTGTTGTGAATGACAGTGAAGTGAATGGCTGGGTTTTACTTGCAAGAACATTCACAAATACAGTTTGGCTGAATTCACCCAGCCCTGTTCAGTATTAGTCTCGGGGGTGGGAAGTGGGGGCGAGGATAGGGAACAGGGGAGAAAATAAACATTCCCAATGAAGTGCACTTCATATTAGAGCTGGTTGAAATTTTTTGAATTTTCAAAATTTCAAAAAAGCAGCATTTTTGGACAAAATCCTACCCCCTGTACCTCCCAAAGTATCACTTTTTGACTAACTCTTCTTAATATGTGTTTTTTCCAAGAGTTGCTGCCTCTTTCTTATGTAGGATCCTGCAAACATTTTGGTTTAAGTGGTAAAATAAATTCCACAGTCTGCCTTTCTGCAGCCTGTCTGGGTCCTGGTTTACTGTAGACTAAGAGGAAAATTCTTGTGGGTGCCCTGGGTTAAAATAATCACCATGCACCATCTTCTGCAAAGCACTAAGTGAAGACAGTTCTCAAATAAAGTGTTTCTCAAATCAATTTTCAGCCAGTGGTTATATCCAGTGCTTTCCTTAATTCTCATTACTAAGATTCCTATGCTCCTCCATAAATCTAGCTACATTATAGCCAGTACTGAAGGGAAATCCAGAAGAAGCAAGATCCAATTCTCAGTGTCCCTGATCCAGCATGAGGAAGTTTTAGTTGACACTGATATGACTGTATAAACGTTTTGAATTACGAGACTAATAGGAACTCCTGGGTTTTACAATCCCCTCTTTTCTCAGCTTTTGGAAGTGGGACATTTTGTTGCAGAACGACACCTTGCTTATTTTATATTCGTTCATCATACAAGGATACTGTAACCTATAACATATAGTGGCTAAGCACTATTGTATCCCCTTATCTTCTGTATTTGTCACACTTTCTTTTAAGACTCACATAAGCAAATATTTTGCAACATCAAGATTTCTGTTTAGCTTTAATACAAAGTAACTAAAATGGGTTGCTTTGTCCACGTTACTGGTGTTTTTTTCCCCCCTGTTCCACCCTAAAGTTTCCAGTTTGTGACATCACCCTATTTGTTTAGCTTTAATCCTTCACAAACACACATGCTGGGTGAAAGGAGACATCTTTAATATAGCTTTTCTACATTTAAGAACATCCCTTATTCCCACCCTCAAAAAAATTACTATTAAAGTGACAGAATGACAGCAACACACAGACAAAGAGAATATTAGAGGCAATGGATATCAATTGTCCACAATATGCCTTTCCTTCTGGTGTGCTCCAGTTGTTCCCCATGAAGGCTGTCAGGTTTATTTTTTAAGGGTTTCTTCTTTCATCATAAAACATTCCTTGTAAAAAAAATTATATATATATATATATATATCTCCAATGCAATTGTTGTGCCAAACTCTGAGAAGTGCCACCTTGGTTGTCAAGTTTCTGGAGTTTGAACAGTTGTCCCTGGAACAGCTGCATTTCTGTAAGCCCAGGGCAGGTGGCCCAAGCTAGCCACTTGCCACTCATAACCCCAGGCTGAAAGATCTGTCCGGTTTTGTTAACAGTCCAAAAGTGTTCATGAGTTAAAATTTCCTTTCCTTTCATTTTTTTATAATGTAAAGTACAAATCCAGTTCAAAATCACTGAGTATCTCCCCAACCTGCTTTCAAGAAATAATTCTCATTGGCATAAAAAATATTCACACCACCACCAAAAAAACCCCACCTTTCCCTCCCCCTTCCTTAAGAAGGCCAGTGATTTCACATCACTGTCCACATAATTTAACTCTTTTTAAGCAGTCTGACCACAGTTCTGGGTGTGGACTTAGTTTAAATAAAAGTGTCTTTGGCTCTCCTCTTTCAATAGAAGGAATTTTATCCTCCACAATATGTCTTAAGTATTGAATTTGAAATGCCAAGTACTGTAGTATGAAGTCCCATTGCCTTCCTGGTGTTCTTGTCCTTGAAATGCCTGACATAGATGCTGAGCCGTGGTGGGCTTGTCTGAAGGAGGAGAGGAAGAGGACTTGGGGGTCTTTGAGTCAGCAGATCAGCTCAGGAGAGATCCACCACAGAAGGAATAACGGCGAGCTGAAAACCAAGATCAGAAGCTGTTACAAACCCACTCGATTTCAGCTCTGAATGTCACCAATTCTACTAGGCAGAGATCTACTGGGGGAGAGCCCAGGGGAAGAAGAGGTGAAGGACAGGTCTAAAACCAGTACAGATCCTTGCTTTTATCCTGAGGCTGCAAACCTGAGAATGGAGAGAAGGGGAAAAAAGGGGGAAAGAAGAAAAACAGGTACAAGATGTTTAAGGACAGAGAAAGCCAAACGCCACTATTTCCTTGTGAGAGTGGAGAAGGGATCTAAAGTGAGGCTCCCCAGAATGAAAGGCAGTGGTGAAGCAAAGAGAAAAGAAAACCAAACTAGGCCAGGGAAAAGTGTGGATCCCTGTTTTCTCTAAAGCTTAGAGGGATCATTCATTGTGGTCAGAATAACCATGTGCCCAGTACTGAGAAATGCTTCCCAGAGACCGTTTCCTATTTCTGTGTGCTCACCCTCCTAGAAACCAGGGCTATATCTGTCTCACCTTTCCAGTGAAAACATAGCTGCAAAAAGCGCCTCCTGAGCACCTGATCGCACATAAAAGACCAAATATCAGCTTTCCTGGGGGAGGGGAAACCGCTGCACTTTTCCCTGAGCAGAGCAATCGTGCTTCCCCTCACCCAGTGGAGGAGAGCGGCTGGTAGGGGAAGGCGAAGCCTGGAAACACCTCCCTGGGGCCTGCAGGCGGCCTTCGCAGGAGGGCAGCTTGTGCTGGGGCCAGGCAGGGCCCGTAGGCAGCAGCCTTCCCGTTACCCCCAGGCGGGGCAGCCCGGAGCCTGCTCCCAACTCAAACCTCTCCTCGGCCCCGGGGAGCGCGGGATCAGACCCGGCACGAGCCCATCTGGCCGCGCCCCTTACCTGCGTCCACATTGAGGCCCAGGCCCTGGGCCATGTCCCCCGCCGGGCTGGGGAAAGGGCCCGGCGCCGCCCAGGCCGCGCTGGCGGGCTCGCTCTTGCCCAGCTCGCACTGGGGGCTGCCGGGCGCGGGCGCCGAGGCGGGCGGCAGGCGGTGCGGGCGGACCGAGGCGGCGGGCACCAGCAGCGGGCTGTAGCGGGGGTCGAAGTGGGCGCCGTAGACCTCGTGCATGGCGGCGGGCCGGGGGTAGGCGGAGGCCTGCGCGCCCAGGTAGGGGTGCGGGTGCGGGTGGTGCCAGGGCTCCGGCCCGCCCTGGTGCAGGTGGCCGTGCAGCGCGGCCGGCGAGTAGGGGTCGGCCCCGGCGAAGGGCAGCTCGCTGTGGCCGGCGGCGGCCAGGGGACTGCCCAGGCTGCTGCTCAGGGAGGCCGGGACCGAGGAGGGCTGGTACGCGCTGTTCCAGAAGGAAGCGGGGAAGCTGCGCTGGCTCATCGGGAAGGAGCCGTCTGGGGAGAGAAGAGAAGGGAAGAGAGGAGGGGGAGTAGCGTGAACACAGAGAAACCTCCCCTTCTCTGTGCCCCCGGCACCCCAATAGATCTGCAAACTGGGCACCCCTGAATCGACCACCACGGAGATCCCCAGCAGACCTCCCCAACTATCCAACAGACCCCAACAGCTCACACACGCAATAAACCACCAGAGATCAACTTCCATAGAGACCCTCCAGCTATCCATCCAACAGACCCCAACAGCTCACACACTCAGTAAATCAGAGATCAGATCCCCAAATAGACCCTCTCCAGCTAACCATCCAATAGATCCCGAAACAGACCCCCCAGCCAACCATTCCAGTAGATCCCCAAGCAGATCCCCTCCAGCTAACCATCCAACAGATCCCCAGACAGCTCTCACACACTCAATCAGAGATTAATCTCCCTGTAGATCCTCAAACAGATCCTTCTCCGGCTAACCATCTACAATACGAACCAACTGCCTGTCAGATCTCTGCCTCCGACAGATCCAGGCCTTTGTTTCCTTGTGAGTTAAAACAATTGTGGCATCCAAGTTTTTTGTGGTTCTTGGAAAAAGTCCTAGATCTATGGGATTCCTCCCTCCCCTCCCTTCTCCTCCCGTAGATGAAACAAGTCACTTCTGTTCTGCACAGAATAATTCCCAGGGGAGGAGAATAAAGACCTTAATGATTTTTAGCAACATGTATATATTTTTACTTAGCATTTACATACTCAGCATATAAAGACATCTCTCCTCCCCATACTCTTTAGAGGCAGGCAGGTCTGGAATGAGGAGGCATTAGGAGTCAGGTCACTTGTTCTCCGAATGACCGTGGGCAATTCCCCCACCTGTAAAGTTGGGCTAATAATGCTTGCCTGTCTCACAGGTGCGCTGCTAACATTTGTAATGCGTTTTGCAGGTCGCTTAGGACTGTAAGATCTTCAGGGCAGGGACTCAGTATTTTATTTGCCAATCAAGCAATACGCAGGATGAAATAATATTTACCAATAGTGAAGATAGCAATGTTAAGTATTATTAATATGGTATGTTGTGCATGTATGTTGTGAATAAAATGTGCATTAAAGCAGTGTGAGCCAGAGGTAAGTTATCTCTGAATCCCTGGCAAGGATCCTTCAGCTGTATTCAGAGAGTGGGATGTAGCACAATACAGGCAACCCCAGCACGGAATATCTTTCATCCCTGCCAAATTTCAACTAGTATTTCATTTTTATAAACCACTGACGGAAATACACGGCGAGATTGGGAAATCTTGAAGCAGAGTCTTGGCTAGATTTATAACACACAGGACTCAAGTCCTTCCCCCCAGGCAAATCTCCCACTGAAGCGAACAACTCACTGGCAATTTTACCAGTATACGGCATGGGCCAAGGTGCCTAAGAATTTGTAATTGTCATCAGGGTTTCAACCTTGTTATAAACCCAATCCGATCCAGTTTATCGTTTTGGACGCTAAAATACAGAATACCTGCTCCGAAGTAAAATGTATTGTTAACGCAAGAAAACATTCAGAGGGTCTGGGATGGAATGCATTACTGGGAAATGCTACAAGCTTTATTCTTCGGGGCGGTGTGGGGGGAAGTAAGTGGCCACTGAAGCCTTATGTTTAAAGTTAGCTATTGGCTTAGTCATGATCGCCTTCTCTCGCACGTGTTGCTGAGTATGCTGTAGAAAACAGTATCCTTCATAATGTGATTGCTCATGAATTTCCTCTCTGCGTGTCTGGTTCTTGTTTTCTTATAAACTCATAAAGCGCCCTTTAGTTAACTTTTTCATAAGCTGCACTGCGGGTTTCCCTCTTCCCCACATAGGACGGACGGGGAATAGGCACAAACTTGAAAGGTTTGAACGGATATCTTGAAGTCTTGCTATTCTGGATTTAAATAAGGTATTGTTTTTATTTATTTCCCCCCAGCCCCAAAAGATATGGCAATCTATTATATACTTGAGCTAGATCTATAGATAATATATAATCTATCTGGGGCGCTGGGACGGGAGCAGTGAAAATGTTTCTACATTAACAAAAATCTTCTTATCAATGTACTAAACTAAAAACCAAGGGCCAGATGGTGCTACCCGTTCTGAAACGCAATGGTATCCACCGGGACTTCTGTTTAAAGTCTTATGGTAAAAAATAAAATAAGAGCGCATGGTAAAAATCATATAAGACTAGTTCCTTGTGGGGAACCTCTGTGGTTTTCCAGTTCCTGCAGGTTGAATCACATAGTAATTTCGAGGCCATTGTTTAAATTCCCTACACCAATTTCAGCAACATTTTACAGTCAGTTGCATTTCAGTGTCATGGAAAGGAGGAGGGTGAGAGGGGGAAGCGTCGAGAGGCAACATACAAGAAGCTGTCTCTTGGTAAAACAAGAAAATACGTCTCTATAATTCTACCTCGACTTAAGTTTTTCGGAGAAGCTAACATAACGCATTTAAGAGCTGGGATTGCTAACCAGGGCACAAAATTTTCGCGACCGAATTTGTTCAACTCCTAAGAGCACACATACAGGTCAACGCTATTTTATCTGGACAGTCATTTCTCAGTCAGCGAGAGAGAGAGATTTATGAGCACTTACAATTCTTATGGACTTCAGTAGCATTTATAGGCTCTGCCCTCTCAAAAAAAAATTACTCCTATTAAGCCTAAAATTAACCAATTTCAATTCCCAAAGCTGGGAATATTCGTTGTATAGTTTACATTACAAATGGTTTGCAAAACAAAACCATGGAGCCCGATCCTGTTCCAATTTAATACAGGTTATTTGGGTATTTTTCTGTAAGGGAACAGCATATCTAACGCCATTTATTTCAGTTTTATTCCCAGCTGGTCAGGGAATTTTTCTTGGTGTACCAGCCTCCCTCTCGCCCCGCTACCACTCTGCCTGACATGGTTTCAGCGGCAAGAGCAGAAAACTTCCCATGGGTGGGCTAGCGCGGGCTGGTCCTTGGAGGGTCGTTTTCCCTTAGCTTTTTTATGGAATCATTTTTGCATTAGGAAAATGCTGTTACTGCCGGGGGGGAGGGTGGTCTCTGGAAGCCGGCGGGTGCAGGGCTCCTTTCGGGAGACCCAAATGCTGCAGGACGCCCTGAGCCTTTTTGCGAAAATCTTCTCGGTTGGGTTGGTGGTGGTTTTGTTCACGTCCCTTTTTAGCCAGGCCTTATGGGAACCCCAATAGGAAGAGCCCCCCGTGCTCACCCCTCCAAGAGCTGGTGCTCCGTGACGTCTTGCCGCTGGCACCGCTGGGCGAGTAGCTGCTGGGCTGGCTAAGGGCCCGGCTGAAGTGCTCATCGACCACGGAGCTGATGTCCCCTTGGAAGTAGGTGAACAGGACGCACCGGGAGTTGATGTACTCGGCCTCGGGGGGGCGCTCCTTCTCGGGGCTGCAGTCTTCCTCCTTGATGCTGGCAGGGGCATGGCTGGAGAAGGAGCTGCTGCTGGTGCTGGCGCTTTCCGGGGCGTCCTGCATTTTCGAGTAAAAGGCTAGTTTCTGTCAGGAAGGGGGGAAGAAAATAAACCCACAGTCACGCAAAGCGGGGTAACGCGGTGCAGTGCTGTCAGATCCAGCTGGCGACGAACGTGGGTCCGGGACTGCTTGCTAAATCCATGCCCGCCGTGGGCCATGCGGCATGGATACCGCGCATTACCCCCACCAGCCACGACATACCTTCCGAAGGAGTTCAGAGCAAACCCCCTATTCGCCCCCAAGAGCTTCCAACAGCGATACGCAACAGGAGGGTTGCCTGAAGCCCGCTGGTTACCCCCTATCCCTGGATTTAGCCCCCTTGTTCCCACTCCTAGCGCTAGCGAAATGTCTGGAGAAGTAGCTGATTGCGTGAGGCGTATATACAGCGCACCGAAATGCATGGCATGTATGCGGACCTATGGAGGGGGAGAGACAGGCGATGCGGGAATGAAGCCTGCTTTGCAGTATAGACAGACACCGCTCCAGGAAACTGCTAGGGGAAATTAACAAATGCAGAGAATCCAGGGGTGTATGTATCTCACCCGGAGACCAGAGGGAATAACCTTAAAACACAACACCACAGGAGCCGCGGGCAAATCCAACTTGGAGACTTTTTTGGATCTTGCGTTGGAAGGCAGAAGAATGAAGTGAAGTGGGAACGTGCATCCTTTCAATAAATGTAATTGTGCCAACCCAAGCCTGCCCGGTTACCCATAGAAAATCGTTTCTCATCTATTATGTCTAGAGAGGAAACATTAGAAATAAAAGGGTCGGCCCTGCTCTCAGTCAGATCCCCGCTGAAGTCAGTGGGCTCGCAGGAGTGTAACTGATGAAAAAAATGTTCCCAACGAGGGTCTTATAAATTATAACTGGAGAAAAAGATTGGCAGCTCAAATACGGTTCAGGGGGAAACCACGTACTTGGCAAGCAGGAGCAGAAAGAAACCCACGGTATTTCCTACAAGACTGGATTGTTTTCACTGGGTTCTTTTAAAAACTGGAATTCACTCGAAAGTGTGCTAAATGTTTTCCAAGTTTTTCTAGCGTGTCTGCAGCTGCTAAGGGCAGTTTCTTTAGACATGAATGATTGGATTCGGATATTGCAGACAGAGGGGCTTTCTCAGCTGGGACTCGGGTACAATGGATAACTCATGGAAGATAAGGGTTAGGGGGAGAAATGAAGGGAGGCCAAGGGAGGCTCCTTCTCGCTTCGTGCCACCTACTCCGGGCAGGACAGGGGCCTGTTTCAGCGTCCCTGGCCAAGACAAGGGACACATTTCAGCATGTCACATCTTCATGGACACCACCTTTCAACTTGGCTTCCAACGCAGCCATTGAATCTGAGTCCCCCTCATGTTAATGCTAAGAAAGAGAAGGGGAAAATACCAGCTGTTATTTCTATCCGGTATTCTAGATCTCCTGCAGTAAGCTGCAGGTAAATCAGGAAGACGTGTGTAATATTCTGCCTGAACAAAGACGGATCAACTAAACCTTCCCTAGGCACGTGCAAGCAAAGCAGATTGAATGCATCGCCCGAACGAGGGGCCCGATCCTGTCCTCAGGACTGCACGCACAGCACCCCAGGACTCCATAGTGTCTGTCTGTGAGGGCAGAAAGGAGCCCTGGTGTTTTTTGGCCATTTTTCCGTTGGTGGGGATTTCCATTTTTGGAGAGAGGGAGGAAGAGAGGGAGAAGGAAGAAAGAAAGAAAGAAAGAAAGAAAGAAAGAAGGTTGTTGAACAGGTGCAGTCCCCTTGTAAAGTGAGGTCGGAATCTCGGATCCTGTCCGACACAATGAAATAGTCTATGGCTCGGGGTGAAAAGTTCCCTTTACAAGGCGGACTTCATTTGGAACGCAATCTCTCAGTGATTGGCAGTTGAAATACGGGGATTACTTGACACGAATGATAATCTGGCCCGTGCAGAACTGGCCAGCAACAGTTTATTTACAAGCACTGCCACGCCCACGTTTGTTTTTCTAAATAAACTAACCCCGCAGTTTACAATCTGGAAGGAACTGACTGAACGTTGCGCTAAAAGCTGAGGCCGGTTGGTGTGGAAAAGAAAATTGCTTTGCCTTCCCCCGACACACTTTTTTTTTTTATTTAGTTGAAACAGGAGCAAAGACACAGAGTGTACAACCCGACGTGAAATCCTGCAGCGTCACCTGCGACCTAACACCCTTTGCCTCCAACAAACTGAACGGAAACCTTCCCCACTCCAAGTGTTCTCAGCTTCCTCCTCAACCAGCTATAGGACTCTGACAGTTTAATAATCCGTACAGCCCCTCCCTCCACGCTTCCGTGTGCAGAACCCTCACGGCAGACATATCTCTGTAACAAAACCACCCCCGCCCCATTAGAAGCAGAACCTGTACGATAACATAGCTGTCGAAAGTGACATGTGGCAAAGTCTTCTTCTAATTACAGTTGCTTCGATTGCAGTGACCGCGCTGAGCCGGAATGGATACAGTCACCCCCCCCCCCCTCCCCAGCAACTTCCAATGCGCATTTACATGTCAACACACCACACCGACACAGCTAGCAATGCGAAGACAACGAACAAGAAGGGACGCCGATTCACTCTTTACACGAAGTTTGGTGAGTTACGTTTACTCACCCTGCAACGATGGCCCATGAATCTAAAACACGACACGGGATAGAAACGGTGTTGAGACCAGCATACAGCTACGCGGCGTGGGATGCTGCTCGGGGTCAGAACAGTTTAAGTTCCCAGGAAGCTCGGTCTGGTTTGGCCTTGCCACAGAGAGGCTTCTCCCAGAGGACACCCCTCCCTCTCTGGCTCTCTCCGCCCAGGTGCCCCACACATACCTGGTGATAAGGACTATAGGCTGCTGCAAAGTAAGGCTGGGGAGGACCATAGACTTGGTACATAACATCCAAACAGCTCATGGCTAAAGGCAGCTGCGAATTGATTTTTTGGATCATCAACTGTTGTTCTGCAAAGTGAAGTGATGCTTCATGGGTGTCTCCTGGGGGTGAGAGTCACTGGTCATTGGCAGGGCGAGTGAGGGGATGAGGTGACCCCCCCTTCCCCTCCCAGAGCTGTCGCTCTTGTCCAGTAATAAAACTCCAGCAAATGAGCTCGGGGCAAAGAGGCTCGGCGGGCTCCAGCCGGGAGGCATTTAAACCCCACACCCCACGTCAGGCGAGGGGCGGGGAGCCGGGGACCAATGGGAGGGCGAGCTCCCGCGTGGTGACTGCAGGACTCTGGCTGGTCCTCTTGGTCTCCCTCTGGTCCTCGCTCGCTGCTGGGCCGCCCCGGACTCTCCCCAGCCTGGGGCTGGGTTTACAGGGGCAGCTCTGCCCCTCAGCTCCCAGCCGCCCGAGCAGTATGGGGCGGCGCCGGGACAGCTGGCGTTGGAGCAGCCCCGAAGCCAGGAGGGCAGCAGCCAGCACGATCGCAGCCCCGGGGGGCTCAGCCCGGGCCTGCGGCTCCCCCAGCCCAGCTGTTCGCAAGCAGCCCCTTCTCCCACGGGGATGGGGTGGCGGGAGCGACCCCTGCTGCAGGGATCCGCCCGGGGCTTTGGGGGCAGGTCCCGCTCTCCTGGGCGCCGCTGACACTGCAGAGGAAATCAAGCTGCAAAGCGAGGCGGGGCGCAGGCTTTCGGAGCCAGAGGAGCTTTAAGGCAGGATGCTGCGCGCCGGCCGGGTTGTGTTTGTTGGATGGGGCCGCGGGGGGATGCACTCCCCGCGGCTCCAGAGAGCAGGAGGAGGCAGGCGGGGGGAGGAAAGACACCGCCCAGTCAGGTTCCAGCCCAAGCCGACGGGGCAGGGAACTGATTTTTAGCCGTTTCCCGCTGCAATGAAAATTGTGTAAAATATGACAAAACAGTGTGTAGCCCAGAAAATGGGTGAGGGAAATACTCTCCTCAAACTGCCCCGATTGTGACACACAACCTCCCCAAACTAGCTCTGTCTGTGACACCCCTCCCCAGACTGCTCCTAATTGTGACACACAAACAAAATACTCTCCAAATTGCCCCTGACTGTGTCCCTCCCCTCCAACAGATGCATCTTTCTCAAATTGTCCTGATCACTCATCACACTCTCTCACACCCACTGTCCTCAAACTATTCCTGCTTGTGACAACCCCTCCACTTTCACCTGCTTCTGAGGAACTCTGAATGTTCTTACTGGAAAAAAGGACATTTTCTTATTCCTAATGAGTGTCTCTCCAGAGGTGGTAGCAAGGATGGAAGCTGTGGTGTAGGCAGGCCTCAGATGTTGTGACCAGTGGTAAAAATTCCCGAGTCCTGTCTAGACTATAGTGCACTGGTGCACCTGTATCTTTTGGGAATTATGGTACTCGCATCAGTAGAGCTATACTTGTGCGACAGCAATAGTGGGAGATTTTCAGAAAAAAAACTCAGTGTAGACAAGGCCTAGTTTCAGTTGTGGTTCATATCTTTTTGTCCTAATGCAGATAACCAAGCTAGATGGATCTATGTCCTGTGTCAGTTTCATTCTTCCTGAATTGCATCCCCACCCCTATTCTACTTTGCAGACCTGCAATCAGAAAATAAACTCTTTTGTTAACTCCATCCTTGATTTTTCCATTCCATCATCATTCAGCAGGAACACTGAATCCTTTCCTCTCATCTACACTTCTAGTTAGTCTTGCTGTGTGCTCTATTCTGTGATGACTGTCCCGCCCACCACCTTGACTCTTATGGTTTGTGTGTCTCTCTTCCCAAATATCTGTTTGTTTTTCCAGTTTTCTCTTCTTTTTTTTAAAAAAATCCCTGATTGCTCTCCCTTTACTCATATTTTGATCACTGAATCATCTGCCACATAATTTGTCCCTCCCTTTGTGGAACGGTTCCTGTTTTTTATTTGCTGGAAGTCATCCTCTGATCTTGATCCTTCTAGTTTTCTAGTTTTAAGTTTGTTTCTAACCATTTTCTTTGTAAATAATTTGGGACTGAAATGTTTCATTCCACATGTGTTAACTAAAGAAAAATAATATCAAATCAAAAGAAGTACAGAGTCAGACTCACACTCTTAGGATACTTAGGAATTTGGATAGTTTCAACCACAAAATCAGACATTTGTTAATTTAAAGATGACTGAAACAACCACCAAAGGATTGGATCAGCGAAGAGGGGAAAGGGTTAATCTTCATACAAGAAGGGTGAAACCTTCCAATAATACTAAAAAATTCTAAATTCCAGCAAAGATGATACCTATAAATTTAATATTATTTAAAGGGGAGAACAAAATAATAGTCCAGATCCTCCACTGGTGTAAACAAGTGTAGCTGCATTGGCTTTAAGTTGAAGACTATGTATGTTTATATTTCATAACTGTTAACCTGAAGAATGGAAGATAACAACTGTTGGTTACTACTCATCTGATGGGGAAATGAATCTATGATGCAGAAGTGAACGATACCATATCTCATTCTCAATCCCCTGAAACATGCAGTCATCTAGAATAGTTCTTATTGTGGTTTGTGAAAAGAGATGAACTTTTAGCGGCTTCTCAAGCATATGAAATCAATCAAAAAGTAGAATTCCATATCTGGGAAAATAAGAAAAAATATTATGTAGATCTTACCAAACATTCACAAAATTATGACAAGTTTTCACATATTAACTAAAAAGGATGGAAACTTTGTATTTAAAAATGTTTGGCATTTTCAAAGTGAATTTTATCACCAAACATTGATAGCTGAAAAATGTATATTTGTCAATTTTGCTACAAACGATTTTATCCAGTTCCAAGTGACAGGAACTGTTCTGACAGCCAACCCCCAGCTAAAATCACATTAAAGACAGTTATATCTAACTTTTTTGACTATGACCCTTTACAGTGCATATTCAATTATGCTAATTTTACTTCTTCCCTTTGTTCCATTAAGGACCAATATATTCCATACTTGGGAATAAAATTAACACTAAAGGGCTCAGTAGCCAGAGCACAGGTCTGGGAGTCAAAAGACTGGGAAGGATTTATTCCAGGGTAAACCATTGAATTTTTGTGTGACCTTGGGCAAGTTACTTTATCTCTCTGCTCCCTAGTTTCCCCATCGATAAAATAGCTGTAGATGTGTATGATAGGTGGCCATGGGAGCAGGAAAGAAGGATTGATGGCATTAGACCCTTTAAAAAAGAGTGCATAGGCTCTCTCACTCGTTATCATTTTATTTCTTGCGTGTGGAAGGGGTTTGTAGGGGTTTCACTTCCATGATTCCATGGTTCACTTCACTTCCTTGTGCTGGAGGGAGGTAATCTTTGGGATGCACAGTCCCTCTGTGGCTGTCTTTCAAAATACTTCTGTCAACAAGGGAAAGCCCCTCTGCTCTCTGCATTAGGATGTTGCAAGCATGATTATAATAGTGTTATATCTTCGACACAGATGTCCCATTCTGACACCTGCATTGCCTCTGCACTGAGCGGTAGCAAATGTCCAGGGCCTTGCATGTTGGCTTTCCAAAGAAGGAGAAATCAGTGATGCCGAGTTTGGGTATATTCTAAGCGTTACTTGGTTTATTTACATAAGTACACCAGGTCTGAAACAGCGATGGTTAAACAGCATGCAAGGCAAGCCTTTCTTTCAGGAATCCCAGCCCAACACCAATGTCCATTTCCCAGAGAGCAACTCTGCCTCAAGAATTGACTGTAATAAAACAACAAACTCTCCTGCTGCTCATACAGCTTCCTCTGCAAGGACTACTGCCTCTACACCAGTGCTTCTCAAACTTCTGTAGTGGTGACCCCTTTCACATAGCAAGCCTCTGAGTGTGAATTAAAAACACTTTTTTATATATTTAGCACCATTGTAAATGCTGGAGACAAAGTAGGGTATGGGGTGGAGGCTGACAGCTCACAACCCCCCATGTAATAACCTCGTGACCCCTTGAATGGTACCAATCCCCAGTTTGAGAACCCCTGCTCTACACAGAGATTATTGATGAAAACGTTAAAGAGCATCGTGCCTACTACTGATCCCTGCAGAACCCCACTAGAGATACTTCTATTCAGTGAGGATGCCCCACTGATGATCACTTTTTGAGATCTGTCAGTTAACTAGTTCTTTGTCTATTTCACATGTGCTTTATTGAAATAGTATAGTGTTAATTTTTTTCAGTGGGCTTTCCATTTTTGCATGGTGTTTATTTTCTAAAGTCCCAATCCGTTTAAGCATGTGCTTAATTTGAAGTGTGTGAGTAGTGATATTGAAGTTAAATGGACTACTCATGTGTTTAAATTCGCTTTGCTGGATTGGGGTCTAATCCATTGAACCCAATCCTGATGACAGGAATAAAAATCAATATTACTATCATTCTACTCTCCCATCTCAATAAGCGTTGCATTCAGTTCTCCTGGAAGCTGTTTCTACGACTTTTTTTTTAAGGCTTTGGCAAATGTTATCGTGTTCCTGGGGCACTTTTTTAGATTCACTCTCTGAATATATCTGGATTCAGAAAGGACTTCAGACTCAAGAGCTGTTTGTGTGGCACCATTCATGATCACTAAATTAATTGAAATGAAAGCTAAAATGCAGCGTGGTCAAGTAGAATGCTGAGGAGGTCTCTTACTGGCTCCATTGTCCCCTCCAGTGTTCTAAGGGTCTGAACTTGTTTTTTGTTTATTTGGTTTTACTTTAGTTTCAGAAACAATGTATGGTTAAGTCACATCTTTCCGTTAAGTGCATATGTTCTTGTTATAGGAACAATGAATCTAGTCATTAACAGTTAGCTTCCTACTAATCACACACCATATTGTTTGGTGCACATGTTTGTATATGTGACATGTCTACTCTAGTGCTACACTATTAAGCAGCTGGAATGTACGTGCTGAGTTTTACTCAATGATGTATTTAAACTGAGAGATACAGCCTGGAACTAAATGCAGCACCTGGTGCATGTCAATCACTTTCCCTATCCAATCCTAACAGAGCATGTCTGTTAGTGGGCCGGATGGATCACCTGTCTCTCCTCTACTGATTGTGGCAGATGAGGAAATCATTCTGCAGTCTTGGAAGAAAAAGCTAGGGTTGTCATGAGGGA